TATTTTCTAATTAACGTAAAGCTTTCAGCATAAAAATCTAAGTAATCAAATAATGGAGATGAATTAGGAAATTAAGTATTTGAACACCTAAGAAACAGCAAGAATTCTGGCTCTCAAAGACCTGTTACTGTGCCTTTAAAAAGTCCACCACTCATTAATCTAACTTAGTAGCACCTGTCTGAGCTCTTTAACCCTTTGAGGACCGTGAGGTTTTGGAATGCCAAAAGAATCAATTTTTTTTTTTAAAGTTCATACACTTCAGTTGCTGTACAGTTGTGACCAAAATTATTCAACCCCCACTGAAATTGAGTGTTTTGGCCAGTTTGACATTGCTTTTGATCATCCAGTCATCTTGCTATACATTTACATTAAAGAGGCACTTGTAGGTCAGACAAATATAACATAACAGTTATAATGAAATAACCACAAATGTCTTTTCTGTGCTCACAGCATTATCAGTTTTTATTCAACCCCCAAGTGACATTCAATCTTAGTACTTAGTACAGCATCCTTTTACAGTTATAACAGCTTTTAAAACGTGAAGCATAGCTTGACACAAGTGTCTTGCAGCGATCTACGGGTATCTTCGCCCATTCTTCATGGGCAAAGGCCTCCAGTTCAGTCACATTCTTAGGCTTGCGCACTGCAACTGCTTTCTTTAAGTCCCACCAGAGGTTCTCAATCGGATTTAAGTCTGGTGACTGCGATGGCCACTCCAAAATGTTCCAGCCTTTCCTCTGCAAACCATGCTCTAGTGGACTTGGAGGTATGCTTGGGATCATTGTCCTGTTGAAAGGTCCAACGTCTCCCAAGCCTCAGGTGTGTGACGGACTGCATCACGTTTCCATCCAATATCTCCTGGTACTGAAGAGAATTCATGGTACCTTGCACACGCTGAAGCTTCCCTGTACCTGCAGAAGCAAAACAGCCCCAAAGCATGATTGACCCTCCACCATGCTTCACAGTAGGCAAGGTGTTCTTTTCATCATAGGCCTTGTTCTTCCTCCTCCAAACATAGCGTTGATCCATGGGCCCAAACAGTTCTAATTTTGTTTCATCAGTCCACAGAACACTATCCCACAACTTTTGTGGTTTGTCCACATGGCTTTTGGCATACTGCAGTCGACTCTTCTTATTCTTTGGAGACAGCAAGGGGGTACGCCTGGGAGTTCTGGCACGGAGGCCTTCATTACGCAGTGTGTGCGTCTTATTGTCTGGGCTGAAACTTCTGTACCCACATCTGACAAATCTTTTCTCAGTTCCTCAGCAGTCACACGGGGACTTCTCTCCACTCTACGCTTCAGGTAGCGCACAGCAGTCGAAGTCAGCATCTTCTTTCTGCCACGACCAGGTAGCGTTTCAACAGTGCCCTTTGCCTTGAATTTGCGAATGATGCTTCCTAAGGTGTCTCTTGGTATGTTTAACATCTTTGCAATCTTCTTATAGCCATTGCCCTTCCTGTGAAGAGAAATCACCTCTTCTCTTGTCTTCCTGGACCATTCTCTTGCCTTCACCATGTTTGTAACCACACCAGTAAATGTCTAGAAGGAGCTGAGTATCACAGTCATTTTAAAGCTGCCTAATTGGTGCTTATTATGCTTGATTGCTGCTCGGTGACATCCACAGGTGTTTTCAATACCTGATGGAAAGCACCTGTATGAACCTCTGTTCTTCAGAGTGGTAGTCTTTAAGGGGTTGAATAATTGTGGCAATGAAGAAAAACCACATAAGAACCATTTACTACTGTATTACATAAACAATTGATGTCATTTTAGTTGCATTGGGTAGTTACAACGTCCTTGTAGGATTTGATTCTGAATACAATTCCAAATGTACACTATAGTCCCTAAACCCCTTTAGCATTGGGGGGTTGAATAATTTTGGTCACAACTGTAACTAAACCATTTCATGAAATAATTGGCAAAAAGCTAGATCCATTTGTTGTTTGTTGATAAGAACTAATATTTTGACTCAAGGCAAAAAAAAAAAAAAAAAAAAAAAAAAAAAAGAAGAGTTTTAAGTTCTCAATCAGATGACACACGCAATTACAAACATGGGACAAATACGTCCCTTGGTCCTCAAAGGGTTAAAGACACCTGTCCACCCCACAGTCTGTCAGACGCCAACTACTACCATGGGCAAGACCAAAGAGCTGTCAAAAGATGCCAGAGACAAAATTGTGGACCTCCAAAAGGCTGGAAAGGGCTACAGGGCAATTGCCAAGCAGCGTGGTAAAAATAGATCAACTGTTGGAGCAATTGTTAGAAAATGGAAGAAGCTAAAGACAACTGTCAGTCTTCCTCAGACTGGGGCTCCATGCAAGATCTCACCTCGTGGGGTATCACTGATAAGAAAGGTGAGGAATCAGTCCAGATCTACAAGGGAGGAGCTGGTCAATCACATGAAGAGAGCTGGGACCACAGTTTCAAAGGTCACTGTCGGTAGAACACTATGCCGTCATGGTTTCAAACGATTCCCCTGCTCAAGTCATCACATGTCCAGGCCTGTCTGAAGTTTGCCAATGACCATCTGGATGATCCAGAGGAGGCATGGGAGAAAGTCATGAAGTCAGATGTGACCAAAGTAGAACTTTTTGGTCTAAACTTCACTCGTCGTGTTTGGAAGAAAAAGAAGGATGAGATGCATCCCAAGAACACATCCCTACTGTGAAGCATGGGGGTGGTAACATCATGCTTTGGGGGTGCTTTTTCTGTGAAGGGGACAGGACGACTGCACTGTATTAAGGAGAGGATGAATGGGGCCATTTATTGTGAGATTTTGAGCAACAACCTCCTTCCCTCAGTCAGAGCATTGAAGATGGGTCATGGCTGGATCTTCCAACATGGCAATGACCCGAAGCACACACAGCCAGGATAACCAAGGAGTGGCTCCGTAAGAAGCATATCAAGGTTCTGGAGTGGCCTAGCCAGTCTCCAGACCTAATTCCAATAGAACATCTTTGGAGGGAGCTGAAACTCTGTGTTGCTCAGTGACAGCCCCGAAACCTGACAGATCTAGAGGAGATCTGTATGGAGGAGTGGGCCAAAATCTCTGTTGCAGTGTGTGCAAACCTGGTCAAGAACTACAGGAAACGTTTGACCTCTGTAATTGCAAACAAAGGTTTCTGTACCAAATATTAACACTGATTTTCTCAGGTGTTCAAATACTTATGTTCAGCAGTACAAGACAAATAAATTCTTTAAAAATCATACAATGTGATTTCCTGAATTTTTTTTTTTAATTCTGTCTCTCAGAGTGGGAATGCACCTACAATGTGAATTTCAGACCCCTCCATGATTTCTAAGTGGGAGAACCTGTAAAATCGCAGGGTGTTCAAATATTTCTGTCCCTCACTGTATATGCAATGCCTGTAGGCAATTTGCATACTCGTCATAGCTTGCCTAAAACCCCCAACGTTCTTCATAGTTCCATCCTGTCCAATTTCAACGGCAGGCCAGCTGTTGTATCACTGAAGTGAGTGCCATTCTTGTTCAGAGCAGTGCATTCTCTCTGATGTCGCTATGGCTGGACTCCGTATATTCAAGTACATATACTTCGCAAACAGAGCTTTAAAACAAGGCGTTACTTCTGCAGCTGCAGACACTGGTCAATCTCAAAGTTCACAGCAGAAGCACCTACATCATCTAAGTCATTAGAGAACAACGTCAAGGCTACTGTTATAAACTTTAGAAGTGCAGGATCATAAAAAAACAAGCATACAAACCTGGCTGTGGAGGAGGGTGCAGTTGGCTCAGAATCTCAGCAATACAATGAGAGGCTGAGCCAGCTGCCGATCAGGCATCTGGGCAGATCCCAACATTATTGCCTGGATCCCTGCAGAGCCTGGACTAGTGATGTCAGCAAAGGATGGGCTTTAGCCCACTGTTGGCTGAATCTGGGTAACAGGATTGCAGATCTCAGTGCACTCCTGTGACCCAAAGGAGAAGTATGGCCAAAAGAGCTTTGGCCATATTTCTCCTTTTTAATCAATATTTTTTTTTAGTTCAAATAAAAATGATTTAATGCTTATCTGCTCTGTGCAAGGGCATTGCATAGAGCAGTCCCTTACCTCTGTTTTGGAAGTCCCTCCACCGATGCTTTCCACTTCTCCTTCCTGCAGGTGTTCCCTCAACAAGCCAGCTGCTAAGGGGTCACCGGCAAGCATTCGTGGACATTCCACAATAACATAATAAACTAGTTAAAGTGGTTATATAAAACTTAACATTTTGTACCGTAATGCATTCTTTGCAGTGAAAATGATCAAGCATCAGTATCTCTCTTCAACCCCCCCTCTTATTTACCTGAACCCTCATTCTATACAGAGTAGTGCCCATCTGCAGCTCTTCTCTCCCCTCACTTCCTGGTCTCACAGGCTTTGCTGAGGCAGAGGAAGCCATTGGCTCCCCATGCATTCAATCAAAGCCTGTGATGAGGGGTGTGGGGGATCCCGCTGTCCGTGTCTATAGATGCAGAATGTGAGGCTCAGGAACGAGCCTGCAGGAATGCCCCCATAGGAAGTGGCTTCCTATAGGGGCACTTGCCAGAGTGGAGGTGCAAGAAGCTCTGACAGGGGATCCAAGAAGAGGAGGTTCAGGACTGTTCTTGCAATTCCTCTGCACAGAGCAGGTAAGTATAATTCTGTTATTTAAAAAAAAAAAAAAAAAAAAAAACACATTTACAATCACTTTAAGCTAATAGTGATTTCTTCATGGGGGGGGGGGGGGGGGGGGGGGGGGGAATCAGAGAGAAAAGTTCCATCACCCTAGGACAGCAGCAAAAAACAGAGAACACAAGGAGTGGGATAGGGTTAAATGGGAGACACCCAGCGGGTGCTTCCTTAAAAGGTTTCCCGGTGTTATAACCAGGGTCTACGAATACTCAGCCTGTGTCCTGTACTGTATGATTAAGATAAACAAAGTTCAATGCTGGGTCTAAGTAGCACAGTTACACTTTTGCAGAAAAACTTAGGGTATGTTTTGACATTCAGCCACAAATCTCACCCTTTCAAGGTCCTGCCTCAGATGAGTAAAGAGCTGGAGCCGACGAATCAGAAAATCTTGTTCTCGTTTGGCAAGGTTATCTTCCTCATCCTTTTTGGGAGTTATTAGTGGTTTATTGAAGTTGGATTTTCTTTTCAGTTTCCAGTACTGGTAAATATAATCTGTCACATCACAGGGGATTTGCAGGGCCTGACTCACATCTTTTACATTGACAAATGTATAGAAGTCATCCTCAAGCTGCTGAAGCTTCAGCTTGCGCTGGCTCCCATGCTTGGCCTCCTGCTGGGAGGCATTAAGGCCTTGTAAATCTTCTGAACACACAGGGGAGGCCTCAGATGCCCCATTCAGTTCACAGGCACCCTCACCATATTGTCCATCCTCTATCTTCTTGTCTGTACTGTGCTTTGGACAGTAGGACTTGAATTTTACTTCATCTTCATCTGTCAAGATAGTCTTCATTTCCAGGCCCCGATCAAAGGCGCATGTCACATGAAAAGCTGTGCGACAGTTTTTAATAGAGCACTGAAAGAAAACAAATGGGAGCACTATTAATAAATGTGCAGCATAGAGTGAATTTAATGTTGAAAGACTATGGTCTTTACCTTTGGATAAACAAAATTTTGAATACTTGTAAGTGTAGCTGTCTAGGCCAAGAAAACAACTACAATTTGTACATGGTGCAAAGCTGACCTGACTTGATTACTGGGTGCCATTGGGCTTTTAGATCTTAAGATTTTGGAAGTACAGAGGAGCCAAGCATCAAAGTGGTAGTAAACACCATTTTTTTTTTTTTAAAGTTTTACCTACAGGTAAGCTTAAAATAAAGCTCACCTGTAAGTAAAATGAATATCTCTTAAGTGTCCACCAATTAGAGATATTCACTCTTTTTAGAGCAGACACGTCACACTGTCTGCGTTTGGGGCCATGCACCTACGCCCGTACAGATGTGAAAAGGGGAGCAACAGCTCTGTCTCTGCAGTCACTGCATCCCCAAAAACATGAATAGGACTGTCCGCACAGAATACCTGTGAATCACTGTGCAGGTAAACACTGCCGTCCATGGGCATACGCTTTAGTATACCCCATGAGAATGAGTAGGAATTTTGTAAGTTATGTTGTGTTTATGTGTGCAAATAAGGATTTTAGTGGGTTTTTTTTTTGTGAAAATAGAGCTTCGAGAAACATTTGTGCAACTATTATGAGGCCTAAAAAATCAGCATCACATTTTTATTTTCCTGGTTCTATAGGGGGGTCTTTTACAAACTCAAAAGCTGTAAGTGAAAAATGTAAACCTCCAGATTTTTAGAGAAATGTAGTTATTTAAAGTTTTGTGTAAGTTCAATTGTCACCATTTCACAAAAAGTAGCAATTTAAAATTTACAAATATTTGTTATTTACCAAGTCAAGTTTAGATTTTATATTTAGTAGGAATTTTGCAAAATTTGCGGTGTTTGAATGTGTGAATAATGATTTTTGTGTATTTTTTGTGACAATTTAATCATCCCTTGATTCATGTTTGGACAATCTTTCATTGTAATAGTGACAAAAAAAAAAAAAAAAAAAAAAAAAAGTGCTTGCTGACAACATTGGGGACAGAATCCAGAAAACTTTTGTGGATGTAACCAATCACTTTGTTATTAGACTGGATTGCATTGAACTGCAGGCGACCCACTGATGATAGCCTGAGGTTCATGCCCATGAATCGGAATGCTGGCTGCAAGGGCCCAAAAGAAATGGTTAGCTGGCTTATGACGTTACAGAAGATGGCAGTGCAGGATCTTTGTGCAACAGCACCAAGGCAGATCCCTTTGAACACTATTAGATTGCTGTGTGTGGAAGTAGGTTTTTCACTTAGAGGAACTTCACTTGTCCCTTTTTTCTAAGTTCAAGATGGAGACAGTCTCTGTGGGTTTAGGGATTTGAATAAGAACCTGGAACAGGTTTAGATGGGGGGCAATGAGACAGTGACCCCAAGTCAACAATCCCTGAATAGCTAAAAAAGAAGCCCATTCAATGTTGCTGAGACACGAGGAGATGTAAAGGGAAGAATCAAGGTCGAGGATGGAGGTGAAATGCTATTTTGTAACCATTTGATAGCTGCATTAGCTAATATGTATCAATGTTGATGCAAAGGCGAGTTAGAGATTGGGGCAGTTGCAAATTGTTGTATAAATTACATTGTGCTATATGCTGGGTGTCCAGTGTGCCCCTGTGCTTTTAAGGAGGGGTGGGTTACCACCAGCTTAACCAGCCCTCAGTCTCTCCATTATTATACATGCGCTTCTACTATAGGGGCTCTCAAAATTATAGAGTTAGGACTGCAGAAAATAATAGGATGCCATGAAGAGGCTCTGCAGCTTATGTATGTATTTGCAAACATGTGCAAACTAAACCCCTTTAAATGCAAACTGTTACACAGGACAATTCGGTTTGTTGCAGGCTGGTCAATAAGTTGAAGTGGAAATTTTTTCTTTTTTGTTGTTTGACATGCATCTCCCCTTCCATGTGCTCCTTGCTGCAAAAGCCAGTTATAGATTGGGGCAGTTGCCATTTGTTTGTATCAATAAAGTAAGCTTCCCATACTCTTGGATAGCCATTGTATTAATATTTCCCCCCACCCCAGATGGAAGTGGGCCAGACTTTTAGGTGTTGATGGATCATATCCATAGACAAATCCTTTGGTTTACCCAAGGATATTTTAAACCTCTCAAGCCTGAAGTGATGGAGGGTTTGTGGGTTCAGGAACTGGAACCTGACTTACAAGAATGAGCTTAAATAAGCTCAACCCCATAAGATAAGAAAATCAACAATGACTGCAGTAATAAGATGAAGCAATAATATCCACATGCACATGCATAGGAGGTAAATGCTGACATTTGAATAAAAGATAGACAGACAGTGCAGCAATGGCCCTATACTGTACTTTCACCAAGTGCAAGCAACTATGCGCTGCTAATCCTTCGAGGAAAGATACCAAGTGTTTTATATGGAGATCAAAATCTGTTCAGCATTTATTTTGTGCTTTGTAATATACAAGCTTAAACAGGGATGTCATTCAAGGGATTTTGTTTTTATCTAAGATAATGGATCCATCTATGACCAGAATTAAGCTGATTGAATGTCGGACGGTTCAGCAGGGACAGGCCGAGATTCAATCCATCTATGGGCAGGCTTGTTGTACTGAAGTTGATCCATCAATCGACTTCAGTACAATAACTAGATGGATTTTTTGCATGCAGTTCTTGCCAGTAGGAAAGGCTCCCTGCCGCCAGAACAAAATAGAGCTGCAGGAGCGATTCCGCCATCAACACTGGTTGTGTTGATCGGGAAAATTGAGCAATTTTCTTTCCTGCATCCTGTGGCTTGCGTTAGTTAATCTCCAAAGTCCCCTCTGTACACCGCACAAACCACACCAAGCAAGCTGAAAGAAAATGGTTTGGATATTTCAAATCTGGAAATCCTGGATTTCTGGGATCATGGAACAGCAGACAGACCAACTTTTAAAGTATTTTTTGGTGATGTCTTTCCTGTTGAAGGAGGTACCTACCTCTCAAGTGCTGTCCTGGCAGAGCATTTAGGAAAAAAAAAAAAAAAGAGGAGGAGGCTCCCTTGTTGCTGAATTGCTAATTACATAAAGGCGTAATGGCAAATGCCACAAACTCAGCCTTGGCACCCAAAAAAAAACCCTCAAAACAGCTTAGGTAGCCTGCTTGCCACATACAATAGTGAGTCTTCAGAGAGAGGGACAAAAAAAAAAAAAAAAAAAAAAAAAAAAAAAAAAAAAAAACAGCCAAAGCTCTAGTTCTATTAACTCCACAAGGAATCCCCAGATACAGTACCTTGAAAATGTATTCATATCCCTTGAAATTTTCCACATTTTGTCATGTAACATCCAAAAACGTAAATGTATTTTATTGGGATTTTATGTGATAGACTAACACAAAGTGGCACATAACTGTGCAGTGGAATGAAAATGATAAATGGTTTTACAAATTTTATACAAATAAATATCTGAAAAGTGTGGTGTGCATTTGTATTCAGCCCCGGAGTCAATACTTTGTAGAACCACCTTTCACTGCTGGTCTCTACCAGCTTTGCACATCTAGAAAGTGACATTTTTGGCCATTCTTCTTTGCAAAATAACTCAAGCTCTGCCAAATTGGATGGAGAGCATCTACAGTGAAGGAAATAAGTATTTGATCCCCTGCTGATTTTGAATGTTTGCCCACTCACAAAGAAATGATCAGTCTAAAAATCGAATGGTAGGTGTATTGTAACACAGAGACAGAATAGCAACAAATAATTCAAACGAAATGCATGTCTAACAAATTATGCACTGATTTGCATGTTCATGAGGGAAATAAGTATTTGATCACCTTCACAAAACATGACTTAGTACTTGGCGGCAAATCCCTTGCTGGCAATCACAGAGGGCAGACGTTTCCTTTGGCCACAAGGTTTGCATACATCTCAGGAGGGATTTTGGCCCACTCCTCTTGGCAGATCCTCTCCAAGTCATTAAGGTTTGGTGGCAGACGTTTGGTAACTCGAACTTTCAGCTCCTTCCACAGATGGCTAGGCCACTCCAGGACCTTAATGTGCTTCTTCTTGGGCCACTCCTTTGTTGCCTTGGCCATGTGTTTTGGGTCATTGTCATGCTGGAACACCCATCCACGACCCACTTTCAATGCTCTGGCTGAGGGAAGAAGGTTCTCACCGAAGATTTGATGGTGCATTGCCCCGTCCATCGTCCCTTTGATGCGGTGCAGTTGTCCTGTCCCCTTAGCAGAAAAACCCCCCAAAGCAGACTGTTTCCACCACCATGTTTGACAGTGGGGATGGTGTTCTTGGGGTCATAGGCAGCATTCCTCCTCCTCCAAACACGGCGAGTTGACTTGATGCCAAAGAGCTCGATTTCGGTCTCATCTGACCACAACACTTTCAACCAGTCCTCCTCTGCATCATTCAGATGTTAAGTAGCAAACTTCAGACGGGCCTGGACATGTGCTTTCTTGAGCAGAGGGACCTTGCGGGCACTGCAGGATTTCAATCCTTGTCAGCGTAGTGTGTTGCCAGTTGTTTTCTTGGTGACTGTGGTCCCAGCTGCCTGGAGATCATTG